TTCTGGGAAGGGAGTATTTATGAAATACTTTCCGAATAAAGAGACTTGTTTAGAAGCATTTTCTGTCCAAATCAGTGTTGAAGAGAGCATTTTGTTAATAGATACTTCATACTATGCTACCAAATATCTATTTCTATTATATAATGACCAAGAAATCTAAACATTTGTAAAAATATAAAGCATGAAGCCATCATTTACCTTTGTGATTCCCATGGTAAAATCAACACAAGAAAATAACTTTCCATTGGATTTCTTCCCTTCCCCTTTCATTTTGTGAGTGTGCAACTTCAATTGAATTGTTAACAGGAAGGGAGTATGAGACAAGGAATTACAGCTTTGAGGAAGTCAACCGCTATATGGCTGAACAGCTTGCTGCGGTACATTTCTTCACTTAATACAATATTCTTAAATCTGCTAGTTTGTTTACTTGGATCCCCTTGAGGACTAAGCATATATAAATTCCACTTTTGGTCCTACGAGTTTTAGGCCAATTCAACATTAGTCCACATCTGTTACTTTGTCCACTTTTGATACATGACTATTGTATTTTCACCCATATATGGTTCTTCCGACATTGTTTCCGATGGTTAAAATCGCTGGAAAAGGACCACAAACGGTTTAAAAACATTTGTCAAGTACCAAAAGCGGACAAAGTGAAAGACATGGACTAAAGGTGGAATCGGCACAAAACTCATAGGACCAAAAGTGGAATTAATTCTTTATTGTGACATTGTGATGGGAAATGCTCAGTGAAGGTTTTTGTGGAGTTTATAGCATAAATTTTGAAAGAATAGATTTTTCTATATAAATATATAATCGTTTTTGAAGAAATTCAATAACAGCCAATATGAAAATCTAAGCTGAATGAAAATAGGTGCTTGCATGTTTCCAGCTTCTATATTAATGGTGAAATGTAAGTTTTGAATATGATGGCAGTTATACTGATTCATTTCTTTCAGCATCATCCTTTCATCCGAATGGTTCATTAATTATCTTATTATATCCTAATGTAGTTTGTTGCTTTTTTTTTTGTATTTACAGATTGCCAAAGAACATGGGGGAATCTTGAGATTTATACAGGTTTCATGCTTGGGTGCATCTCCAACATCCCCATCCAAAATGCTTAGAGCGAAAGCTGCAGCTGAGGAAGCCATTTTACATGAAATTCCTGAGGTAAGCATTTTATTTGTTGTAGGTTCCTTTGAGGTGATGAACCATTTTGCTCGTTTTCTTCTCCTATTTTGCACACCTCTACTTTCATCTCATTTTCTATTTACGAGTTTATTTTACAAGATGCATGTTCTCTTAAAGCATCTACATAGGCACTATTACATATTTACACTTGTTTGGATGAATAGAGAAAACAGAAACAAAGAAGTTGAAGGGTAGAGAGAATGAGTACATCTTTAGGGCTGAATTGAAAGTAGTAGAGACAAGTGGCGAGAAAAAATAAAGATTTTTTTTAAAGACAAGTTTGCCCTCAACATATAGACAATCTTTGCATGAATGAGGTTAAATTTGTATCTTCAACTCTACACTTCTCAATTTTTCCAGCCACTTGTAGAGAGATTTTATTTTGTGTCCAGCAGTTAGTTTCTTTCAACCGAACCATGTAATCAGAACTTTTACATATGTATCTTTTTATTACCATATTTTGGATGATCTATATACTACTACCTCCGTCCCATTAGAAGGTTCTCGTCCACTATTCACATGGTCAACTTAAATCATTTTTAATCTTTTACTTTATAAATCAAATTTTTATCAAATTTACATTTTTTATCAGGCTTTGTAGCGGTTTTAATGTAGTTTCTGAATATGTTAATTTTATTTACTAAAAATAATCAGAGTGTGAACAGGGATTAAGTTGCTTTATCGTCATTCAAGCATCTTAAACCGTCAACGGGAACCTTCTAGCGGGACGGAGGGAGTATGCATTAACTATAGCAAAGTACAATTTGCATGTTGTTGATCTTTTTGTCTCCAGGCAACTATATTGAAGCCTGCAGTGATGATTGGCACTGAAGATAGAATTCTTAATCCTTGGGCACACTTTGCAAAGAAGTATAACTTTCTCCCATTATTTGGAGATGGATCTACAAAGTATGTTGGCACACATCTCTCTCATCACCATTGCCAAACTTTCTTAGAGCTTCAGTGTCATATTATTTTGGCATGTTACCACGTTCTTGCAGAATCCAACCTGTATATGTTGCTGATGTTGCATCTGCGGTTGTTGCATCACTGAAAGATGATGGTTCCAGCATGGGTAAAGTTTATGAACTTGGTGGTCCTGACATTTACACAGTACACAAATTGGTGAATCTTCAACTTCTACTCATCTTTTCTTAATTCAATCTTTCTTTCCTTCTTGAATGCAAATTGATCTCATAGGTGAGATTTTGTTGCAGGCAGAGCTTATGTATGACATGATTCGTGAATGGCCTCACTATGTTAAAGTTCCTTTCCCCATTGCTAAGGTGAGCATGAACCCTATGCTAAGGTTTCAAATGGTTGAAGGGGCTAAATCTACTCAAGTTGTGCCGGAATCTGCTAATTTTATAAATAAAATATATTTCTTCAATAAAGAAAATCTAAAAATAATTGCAAAGTATCAATTTACATAAATCTAGTAATTTCAGCCAAAAGTAACTTGTGTAGTACTTCCGTGCATTAATAACAGCGGGGTGAGTTCGTATTTGGTGGAAAATCTAGCTGATAAGACTAGTAAGCCGGAAAAGGGTTCACCAGACAGGCTCCATATTGGAAAACGTATTTCATATTTAGGTTCTAGAGCCACCCATTTTTCTCCATTTTTATGTGTTCCTTTGCTGTTGTTTTCAGGCAATTGCCACTCCTCGAGAATTACTGCTGAAGAAAGTTCCCTTTCCATTGCCGACTCCTTCAATATTTAACCTGGATATGATTGAAGCCATGACCACTGATACAGTTGTGTCAGAAGATGGTTTGTGCCCTTCGTACTCATTAACTTTTCAATATCTATGCAATTAATTAAGGAATTTTATCAATTCAGGACCCGAAAGATAGATGAATTATCAATCCGGGACCTGAAAGATGAAATGCATCGATGTAAGACTCGAATGATGAAAAATTATCAATTAGGACCTGAATGATTGAAAACTATTAATCTAGGACCTAAGTTGTCATACATTATTTTTTTTTAAAAAATTAAATATTATTTAGTTTTATTGAACTAATAAACTTTTGTGAAGAAAAATTTATCAAAAATTAGTAAGGAATTAATTAAAAAATTAAATAAATCAAAACCTGTGAAACGTTAGGTCCTAAATCGATAGTTTTCCATCATTCGGAATCTATACCGATACGTTTCATCTTTTGGCCCCCCATCATTTTGCACATAGATTATGGAAGAGTTGCTATAATTGGAATGATTAATTTTGTAAGCAATTCCCAATTCTACCCTTAGTAATGTCAACAATTTGTATTAAGAGTATTATTAGTTTCAATGAGTAGGGGTAAACCTTGAAGTGAAAAATTAAATGCACACCCAATAATTTAAAAATTGAACTGTCTGTGGAGTATCTTATTAAACAGCTGCTGCCATCATAAGGAATCCCTATTCCACCATTGTTTTGCAGCATTAAAATTTGAGGATCTTGGGCTTGTACCACAAAAGGTGAAGGGTTATCCAGTGGAGTTTCTTATTCAGTATCGTAAAGGGGGACCTCATTATGGTTCGACAGTTAGTGAAAAAGTGTCTGCAGATTCCTATCCATGAGTTCGATTTGGAACAGTTTCCATTGTTGGAACAGGTAATTATGTAACATCAAGTGATGCACGGCTCTTATGTGTTATGCAAGAACTTTTGTAATTATTTAGATTTTTATGCTGAGCCAAGCGAGTAATAAATTGATCAAGGAATCAGCAAACCTGATTAACAAACAGTGCTGCTCACTCTCAACTCAGCCTGGGTGGGTGGTTATTTACCAAGACTTTAGGACTTGTGGGCAAAGGCCCATGCCATTTCCTTATTGACAAAGGGCTACGTAGCACTTCTCTTGCATATTTATGATACTACTGCCAATTGTTCTTTGAGTTGAGCACTGATATGTGTGTGTGTAAGTGTGTTGATCGAATGCTTACTAAAGTAATAGAGGTGGCAAGAATGTGTAAAACTTTCAACTGTTAGGAATAACAGTAAATGGACTATTTTATGTTTGCATTTTCATAGGGCAGTTCAGCCTTTATGGGTTGGAGTGCAAATCCTCCAGGCATTGCGGTAGTCGCTTTGATGTTTATTGAAAGGCTTACATGTTTTTAAGCAACACAAATACTCTAATAAAAAACTCCATTAGCCATCAAATCTCAAAATGACTTTTTTCATTAACCACTTCAAGCATGTTTATTCACCCAGTTAGTGTTCAACTTGGCTACGACCCAAATTCTACTTTTTATGATATCAAGATGCAATCCGTAATCCACATTTTCGATAATAGCAATCACGTTATGATTAGTGGTATAAATCATAGAAATAATGATTAATCCGTAATCCACTTTTCGATAATACCACCAATCACGTTATGATTAGTGATATAAATCTTAGAAATAATGATTAATACGTAGTACAACAATTTATATGAATAAATAAAATGAAATGGACAAAATGCGACTTTTTATGCACATTTGATCATAATAGTTACTTTTAGTGAATGATCATTTTCAATTTTAAATAGTAATTACAATTATACCCATAATGTCTTTAGTAGTCATTATTGCTCATAAGTTTTCTTAGTAGATAGTAATATTTTAGAAAACCTATTAATTTTTATACTTCGTATTACTTTAGGTCTCTATCTTCATGAATTATTTAAAATGATTTACCACTATAATCAAGTACAAAAAAGGAAAAGAGGAACATGAGTATGTTATCAAAGTCATCACTACTTTACTTGTGAAAGGAGAAAGGCACCTTAATTGGTTCTATACCTCATGGATTCGAAGCTGCAGATGAATGAAATATAATTTAACTCAATTCAATATATGCAAGACATTTTATCACATTGATCCATCAAACTGATCTGAATCATGTCATCAACGCCTGAATTTGGGCATTGCGAGGATCCCAACGAGATGGAAGGGATCCACAGAGCATCGCCATTTGAAGATGTCAAGATGGAAGAGATCCACATCAGAGCACCACCATTTGAATCTATCAAGATGGAAGGGACCAACATTGGAGCGTCGATGGTCACTAGTGAGTCACGATACAGCGGTTGCATAAACATATATATCAACAACAACATTCAAGGAGTGAATCACTCCATCTTATTAGGTAGCCGTGTGGATCTGCGAGATCCCGGCATTCGCTTTTCCATTAATGGTTTGACATTCCAACTTGAACCTCAACAGCATAAGACAAGAGGCAATTTCGTGTGGCTAGCATCTTCTTTGCTACTGTTTTCTTTGTTTGTAATCACCTTTCTTCTTCATTTAGTTCAAAAACTCAAATTCTCATCAGGAGGTGTTTGATATACATTTTTTCAGCTTATCACTAATTCACTATGTTTGCTGATTGTGTTATTATGACAAATAATGCATGAATTACTTTTTGGGATGAATGGCTTAAAATCAGAGAAAATGACATTTTTCTGAATTATTGAATTATAGAAATTGCTTTCATAATTTTATTAAGGAATAATTTCAAACAGTATATATATAACTCAGGATTATAATAAAAAATGAGTATAATAATTTACAAGTAAACTTAAAAACAATCACCCCATTTGGAATAATGAAATAATACACAATTTCACAAAAATGATCTCAGTGCTCCATTTGAAATAGGAAGATAAAAATGTACAGACATACTCATTAGTAACAAGTGGAGTGGGAAAAATAAAACTGCAAACTGGATTACAAAGTGAATATAAATGGTAACAGAAACTAAAAGTTTCCTCATTTCTTGATGAATGATAAGCCATTGGCATTAGCATACCGCTCCATAAATCTCATAAACCTGTCCCATTCTCTCGGATTCCTCATAATGTACTTAGCTTCAATCCCCGCAGGTTTACCGTTCACAAACTTGGCATTCACATCCACTGACCGAAGAACCCCTTCTTCGTCAATCATGTAAAACCCCGTAATATCGCCGACCTCTTTAGAGGAGTCAAATACGGAGGGTTGGTCAAACCTGAAAGTGGCCACACCATTCGTTCCATCCTTGGATTTGGTTAGCTTCACATCAGGTACCGTCTGTTCATCTGTTCCTTGTATGAACTGGATTGATGGTTTTACCATCATCATTATACTTTGTCTAGAAGTTGTTTGACTACGTGTGCGGGATGAAAACTGCAAACGGGGGAGACTTTGACCAGTGAAGAATGAAGGTACACTTTGATGAACAATTGCAGATGCCATACCTGCACATCACGTAACAACAGCAACCAATTTCAATTCAATCACTAAAAAGATTTAGTTGAGTACCAAGACGGCAAAGACTTGACCGGACAAGATTAGGCCTAAACATATTCGACTACACTAAACCAACATTGTATATTAATAATATATGCATAAAATCAAACCATAACAGACAGGACTAGTTTTTAAAAGGCCAAATGAAACTAAAATCACACCAGGTCAAAGAATTCCAGCACAAATGGATTGGCCAAAATGTTAGAAAACCTTAACTATTGAACTCTTTAAGGTTTCAGTAAGGCTGTAACCAACATGAATTGGTCCTCTATCTTTAATAACGTTCATTCAGTCTTATTTTTTTTAGAGAGGTTTCTATTATTTAAGTGTTGCATATGGATTGATGTCCAAAAGTTTAGAAGCTCCTAAAGTACTTGAGCAATCCAAAAGTAATCCAACAGAATCTATATGTAAAACAAACTCATTAATGAAGTTCCTAAATCCTAAACGACTTTTTTAAGCACTTGATTTTGAACCAAGTTGTAGCAAGATAATTCAAAACTGGGTTTTAGCGTGCAGAAGAGCACTCCTGCGACCTGCGTGAGAATTTCTGTGTATCATATCATATAGCCAGTTTAGCCATGGTAATTATAACTAAAAGAGAAGGGGTAGAGAAACATTATCTATGCACATTTCTGTGTACTAGTCTAAAGCTGTGTATCAGTGCATCACTGAGTGATAAAATTTACCACTTTTCCTATGGCTATATTGTTGCTAAAATTGATGAGTGATCAAGAAGAGATTCTTTTTTACAATATACTGTGCAGTAAATGACGGTAGAACTGTCAATTAGTTTCCCTTCAACGATTCCAGAATTAATAACGAAGCGCATCAGTTCTCTTTTTCACTATCTGATCAATCAAATGAGTGGAACTACATAAAAGGGTACGAAATGCAACAAACAAAAGGAAAAGCAAAGAAAAACGACTACTATAATACCCCTGTAAGGATGAACGAAAAGGAATTGCAGAAAAGAATGTAAGCTGAAACCAAATTGAAGTCACTCCACAGAGAATGTAATGAAGAAGAATAGGATAATTACCAGGAAAAGAGCGAGGCTGATGGCAACGCGAACATGGGTGGGAGAGAGCGAGGAAGTGTAGTGATGCCATTGTAGAAAGAGGGAGAGAGAAGCTGAGGAAAAAGATTCAGGGAAAGAGAAGATGATGGGGTTGGGTGTCATTCGGACAGCCATCCATTCCCTCGCAGAACAGTTTTAGCTGCTTTCAGGGAGGGATCAGGATTTCAAGTCAAGGGGTGAAAATTTTCGTTAGTGTAGGAGATAAAAAATTCATTAGTGTAGCGGGTGAATTTTTTTTCTAGTGTAACGGGGCGAATTTTTTCACTAGTGTAAGGCTCTGGGGCTATTTTTATTCAAAAAAAAAATCATTAATACATACGTGACGACATTTAAATCTATATATTACATTCTAAGTTTAGACAATGACAAAATAACTTTAATTTTATAATTGGAGTGTTCTAGAAAAAAGTATTGATACATTAAAGCATAAGAAATGACAAATCAATGGAAACTAATACAAAAATAAAAAAGGATATATAACATTTTATTTAAATATAAAGAGTTTATAAGGTTCACATTCACGAGTACTTTTAAAATAATTTCAACATTGTTTAACTACATGAGTCTTATAGAAATAAAGAATTGATTTTTGAATTACAATTTTTGTCTATCATTGAGGGTGTTCATAAGTCACAAGCAGTTCTTTTAATATTACAATAATATGTATGATATTATTATTTTTAGAATAAAATTATATTGATAATTCATATATATAGTGCATATTATATTTGTATTAATGCTAAAATAATTAAAGTTTATTATCTATGCAATAAAGTCTTTTTAGAATGTAAGAAGTAAATGAATAGTGTAATTCAATGTCAATAAACATTTATAATTTGGATTACTTCACATGATCTAAAAACTTTGTAGCTAGAGTGTCTGGTATTTAATATCGTTTGATATATATTTTTCAAAATTGTTTACTAGTTATCGAATAAAGATAATTAAACATTACAAAACTAAGAATTTTTATATAATAAGTATCCTAAATCTCAAATAATGAGTTCTTCTATTGTTTATTTAAGTTATGTAAATTATTTTAGATGTTCCTTTTTTAAATCTCCTATTAAGTATTACATTATGTAAGACTATATATCAATTTTAAAAACTAAAAGTTAAGGGGGGCAATGTTCAACAAAAAAATTAAGGGGGGCGAATCTAATTAAAGTATCAAAATTTTACAAAAACATTACATATATAGTAGAAAATTTTGAAAGTCCAAGGGGGGCGATCGCCCCCCCACGCCCCTCCCCCCCTTAAATCCATCCCTGGCTGCTTTTGAAAGGATTGAGTTGGTTGGTGCTGGTTCTTTGACCCGCCCGGATATGAGGCCCATTTGGGATCCACTTTCTTAACTCGAGGTTTCAGGAATTCAGGGTAAGGGTGTTTGGATTACTTCATAAAAATGTTTCACCCCTTTCAAAAAGAGTAGTAATAGATATTTGGGTGTTTGGCCGAAAGTGCACAAGTGCTTTTAAGTAGTTCTGATCCTATTTCTGCTTTTTAAAAAAGAAGCAGAAATCAAATCAATTCCAAACACCTTGTAAAAAAAGATGTAAAATTTCAATGATCTCTTAAAGTCTGAAGTGATTACTAAAATTATTACGTAAATAAAATTTTAGTCAGGTCACAGACCATCATTTTTGTAATATTAGGAGCTCGTTTGGTAATATCATGTTAGGAATATTTTATGGTGTCCAATCTAATTAAATATCTTTGTATTTGTGTAGTTATTAATTAAACATGTAATATGAGTCACACATGTATATCGGTCCGATAGCTTCTTTGTAACCCATAAGTTAGCCAACCTCTCCTATAAAAGGAGGCTAACTTATGGGAACACTAAGGCTTGAGAGTGCAAGAGGCGAGATAGAATGTAGGTTTTACGTTGCTCTCCTTCTCGAGGAAGAGCAGCAGCCATGTTCACGGTATACCAGATTTGGGTTCATCTCGATATCTTTCTATCTGCTTCTTCTTTATCTGCTATGGTTGTTTGTTTGTTAAAGAATAAGGGACTAACAATTGGTATCAGATCCGAGGCGTGAAAAATGTTGAATCTATCTGCGATTTTTCAAATCTAACGAAGAGCTGCTCTGCTTTTCTTATGTTTTTCTTTGATATAGATATTTGCTCATGTTATCTTGTTTGTGAACGAAAACCTGTAAAATTTATACTGTTGGAATCGCATTTTCAAAACGATTCTACAATAAATCTTCGTTTTCGATTTCTGCAATTTTTAAAATTCGAAGATCTCTACATTGAGATCTCGAGATTCTATTTTTACATGGTTGCAGAAATGATTTCGACTTGAAACTGGTACAGAAAGAATCCCGACCTTCAGGGCTATTCAAAACAGTTTTCATATTTTCAAAATTCGAAGCTTTCATTTTGCAGGATCTCGACATTTTGAGGATTTCGAAATTTGGGATCTCGATATTTTGAGATTTCGATGTTTGAGATTTTGACATTGTGAAAGATTTCGAGATTTTTGGAATTTCTCGATGTTTTGAATCTTTCAAAGTTAGCAGTTTCTTGAAACTTATAATTTTTCGAAGCTTGACATTCTTCGCAGTTCATCGAAGCTTTACATTATATGATTTTTGAATGATTCCTTGCTTATCAAAGTTTTAAGAAGTTTTCGATGTTCTGATGTTTTTCAAACAACAAGTTTTCGATATTATGAGATTTTCGAAACTCCAAAGTTTTCGATGTTCCAAACATTTTTAAATTCTGAAGATTTCGAAGTCTCGAGGTTTTGTTTTTCAGGTGGATTTCATTATTATTCTTCGAGGCAACCTCGAGATTGTAATCTCGAAGTTTAAACATCGAGAATGTAATCTCGAGATTTACCCCAGAACCCATTTTCACGCGCCCTCACTTGCAGTTCTTGAGGGCCAAATCGTTCGTTTTCCGACAAACATTGTCAATCACTGATGTCAAGTTCAAAATTTAGGCAAATATGTTCAAATTCTTCCAAAGTCAAACTTAAGGTCAAAGCTTTTC